CATATTTCTGATGTTTAGTTTCTGTATTTTCTGGTGTTCATTGTTTCATTACTTCCTTTATTTCCTGTCGTCATCCATTATCCCCAGTCCTGCCATGCCCATTCACACCTGTTCTCTGTACCATTAAACTCACTTTTTTCCAATCATCCCATCAGCCCCAGTATAGTTTTTCAGTTTCATCCCATTCATGAGTTGAGCATCATGTTCTCCTCTGTGTCCCTTTCACATTCTCCTCCACATTATGTGCAGTTAACTAAGTTTTGCTGCCACTCCTGTCTTTTTGTGTTATTTAATAAGGTTTAAATTGCTTCTCAAAGTTTCTTGTGCCAATCTGATTTATTGCATCCTGCTTCCTACAGATCTCCCAATTTTTATTAATTATTATTGTTTTTTTTACTGTTAACTGTCCTCTGTTAAACCATGTATACATTATAATCTGCCAAGAAGGGTTTGGGTTTTTGACCCATTCCTGCGTGTATCTGAGGAAAAATTAAAGGACTTTTTTTTTTATAAAAATGTAGCAGACAAAGTTAGATTTGTTCTTTGCTGCTTCACAGAGCAAAAGGATTTCAAGAAAGATGACAAAAGCTTTGGCCATTAAAAAAAGCAATACAGAATTAACATGTCACCTCTTAGGGTTATTATTTCAGAAACAGTCTGACCAGCATGTTGACCTTATCAGGTTCATGCACGGGATGATCATTAAAAACAGCTTTAAGTCAGTTTGGTAGAATAATATTGGACAGGTTGGTCCTTCGTTACAAAGCAAACTTCAGCTTGAGATAAGGGTCCACCATACTCCAACCAAAGCCAAACAGTCAACGCGTGGTCACGTGGTTGTGGCACATTTGTTTAGTCCACGAGACACAGAACTCCTGGGAACCCCCCCTGCTGATGTCACTGCAGGGTTTCTCCCCACCAGGGTCTCCACTCCATCCTGCATCGTCCATTTGGCCACAAACCTATGAAGAAGAGAGCGCCACACTTTTCAGCAGACAGACTCCTCCATACACGGTGTCTGCACGACCTCCATCCAGGAGTTTTCCTCAGCTCCCCTGCCCAGTTGTCATTTTTTCCAGGTGTCTCCACTCATCAGCTCCTGTCAGTAAAGTCCGTTAGCTTCACCTGACAGTCAGTCGAGCGTTGTGTGCTTCATGCCATGTCCAGTTCTCCTCCAGGTTTGTTGCTTTGTAGCAGCTTCTTTGAGCTCCTCGTGTTTGTCTGCGTTCCTGCACCCAACAAACATCGTGACGCTGTTTTATTGTTAGACTGTAAAGCCCCACAATAAGCAAAAGTTTATAGCTTTATAGGTATGCAATTTACCTGGATGCACCAGTTTACTGTTTAATTTATTATTCATTGGCTTTATGTTTTCGGGCTATGCTTGTTTACAGCATTTAGTTAAAGCACAAACGGGAGACGTATCCTGTCCCATCAGTGCATCAGAGTTTATGGCTTGTTGTGACATTAAATACTTTATAGATCGGCCTTAAATCTGTGTGCGGCTGCAGCTCGGTATTTATTTAGATCCTAAAGAAAAACACATTTGGCATTTTTAACCAAATCAGATGAAATGTTTGTCAAACGCTAAATGGATCCGGCTGGCTGCGATAACACTGGAGGTATCCCAGGGAGATGAAAACCATCACGATCGCTGAAACAACCACATCACCTCACTGTGGAGGATGAGACTGAACTCAGGAAGATATTTGACTGAATGTGATCAGATGCTGTTTTTTTTATTTAAATAGTGAAACAGACATGACATTAAAATCAAATAAATGAGTTGAGTCTCTTAAGCAGAAGCAGTAACAGCATCCAAACAAAAAATGTGCATCTTCTTCCATCATTTTGAGTAAAAATGTAAACTGCCTGCATGTCAGCTGATTTAACAAGCAGGAGGAAGAGGAGAACACAAGAGGAGGAAGAGGAGATCCACCTGGCTGATAAATCGGTCCTGTTACTTTTTAAACTGAGCTGTGAACACACACACATCACACACCGTACGCCTGCTGACACCGTGACAGGTATTTGTTCATTTTGTTAAAACACAGAAATCCTCAGAAGCTGAGGGAAACCATCAGGAGTACAACTTACATCTCAACTGATAATTTAAACAAAAACTTAGTGATTATGTTTAATAATAAAAACATTGAGAACATTTGAAAGAACAGACGTCTGCAGTGTTGCTCTGCTGCAGATAATCTAAACACAAAGAGTTTCACATAAAGAAATCATAGTTTATGTGAAACTCTTTAGATTCACTAAAACTGAGCAGTGCTTCATTTTGCTTCATCTGTCAAGCACCATTTGTCCCCACTCACAACACAAACACAACACAACATAAACACAACACAAACACAACACAAACACAACAAAACACAAACACAACACAAACACAACACAA